AGAAAGATAAACAATGGTTCTATTTGGTCATGAATACACAGAAAGGGAAGGAAAAGTGAATGTCAAGGGGTGTTTCCAGCAGTGACTCACGAAGTAATCAGAAGTTGTTTAACCTAAGACGCTGTTTAAGTGACATGCGTGATTATAGAAGAGGCAGGTGAAGGGGCTGCAAGGAATTTTCTGTTGTCTTTTGCCAGGTTCTTAGGGAGATGACCTTGTGGAAGAATTAATACTGCGGTGCTAGTGGCTGGTCTTGTGCACGAGTGGAGGCTTAGCAGCATGAATAGCGTGAGGGACAGAAGGCTGATGAAGGTCAGGGATCTCCGCAGAGCTCCCGTAACACATCTTCACCCAACTGAGTGAAACTTGTTAATGTGTCAAAAGCTCCATACAGTTCCAGAAAAAAATTGTAACTATCTGACATGAACTCACATCCTCTTTTCTAACACTCATTTCTAGATTTGCGAAACTGTGCCTCTACTTTTTCATTTTGGATGTAATGTCAAGGCCAAGGCTAGTAAAGAAGAGCAGAGGGGCCAGGCAGATAGCTCAGCAGCCTAAGTGCCTGCCTGGAAAGCACAAGGTCTCAAGGTCAATCCCTGGCTCAGAAAAAAGGCAAAGATGACGATGAAGATGAAGACAAAGATGACAAATATGAAGACAAAGAAGAAGAGCAAAGGGTAGTGTATGATTTGAGAGGCATCAAGGTAGTTCAGCTGCCTCTAAATATCTCCTCTACCTCTTCATCTTTAATAAAGCAATGCTGTGGCCTTAAAATTCCCCTAATTTCTAAAACTCTTCAGTTGAAATATAAAATTCTCCTGAAGGTTACAAATCCTAATCTTTTAAAGGCTAGCTAGTCTTTTACTCTATAATTTTTTACAATGTATTCCTCACAACCATAGCTCCATAATACATTTCATAAAAAAGAAAGTATTTGAAAGATTTTTCTTGGTCAAATAAGTTTTGGAAAATGGAGCCCACTGTATTCCCAGTTCTAGAGATTGCAGGCACATAGCATCCCCCTGGCTCTGAAGCAGTCTAACCCTACAAGCCATGAGTATTCCACAAAACACCCTTAGGAAACCGATAGAGTGGTGTATTTACCCAAGAACATCACTTGGCAAACAGCCTTCCCTATGTGCCAAGGGCACTGAAAGATTAGTAAAGGCAGTTGATGCAGTACTAAATAGGGTTAGACACCTGGAACCCAGTACAGAAGTCCCTATGGGGCAAGTATTCTCTGCCAGGCACCTACTTTGTTCTTCAAATTAAAGAATTATCCTCTCGGTGAACCTGAGTCAGTGTATTCCTCTTGTTTTATGAATAAAAAATAAAAGCCTAGTAGCATCAAAAACTTGTCTAAGGTCATATGAGTAATTAAATTCTTTGTCTATCCTCTGATTATTAAATTCCTTGTCTATCCTCTGATTATTCCAAAGGCAAAAGCTTTATGCTCATTACTGTCAAGCTTCTCTGGGAGGTGGGATAGAACACATTCCTGATGCCCACCGGGCGTGGCCAGCTCCCCCGAGCCTCTTACCCCTCACTCTTGCTAAGAGTCAAAATCCCACTGCTACCTTATTTTATTTTCACCTGTTTTTCTACTAACAACTACTGAGATATATACACAGCATAATTGTACAGTTATAGACATTAAATGCACACTTAAGTGTACATTTCAGAATTTTTTAGTATAGTTTAGATATGTGAGGTTATCACTGCAGTAAATGTTGTAATGTTTTAGCTGCTCAAAAGGAAAACCTATATAATCCCTCACATATACTTTGGTCATCACCTGTCCATATGACCACCCTTCACCCAGTCCTAAGTAAGCACTAATCTACTTTCTGTCTCTATAGATTATCCTAGACTCTCGTGTGAGTAGAATCTGATATGAATTCTTTAGTTACTAGCTCTTTTCACTTACTCTAATATTGTTAAGATTCCTCCAACCTATTAAGCTTTACTAACTATAAATCCAAAAATTTTCTGGGGCATAAATTTCTCTACAAAGTAATCCAATCAAAATGTGGCTCCCTCACTGGCTGCCATCCCAGAGCTGGTATTTTCGTAGAGGCTTCATGCCTTCCTTCCCATCCTGTGATCTGGCTAGCTCATGCTAGAGCTTCATTCCGTCCACAACTCCCTGAATGTCTTTCACAACAACCCCGAGTGTTTCTAGCAGTGCTCCTGTACTTAAACATTTCTGTCTTCTATTACCTAATTGCCCAGTATGCTGTGTGCATGTGCAGGGCATCACCTTCTCTGGAAAGAAAGTACCAGCTCTCTGCTTTATGGCCTGCTCCTTCCCAGAGTAGACTTGCTGAGCTCAGGGTCCAGGGCTAGGGTTTCTCTGGGCTATGCACTCAGTGGCCTGGGACACTCATGGCTTGACTCTCCTCTCATGGAACCCCTGTCCCATGCACTGGGACCAGCGCAATTAGGGTGTCAGCATCCTCGTGGACCATGCCCAACATACCTTGGGCAAATGAAAAGAACCTCCATCTGTCGATAGCCCTTGCTCAAACAGCCCTGGCCACAGAAATACAGGGCTGAGAAAGGGGGAAGCGCTGCTCCTCTTGGAAAGAAATTTCTCCAGTTGGGAGTTGGAAAGAGGGGAGGCTGAATTCTTGCCAACAAGCCACCTTTCTGGACTGGGTTCTCCACCTTTCCAAGGTGGTGGGAACAAGGAAGCACTGGTCTCAGTTTAAATACTACACGCCCTCATAATTTTTCATTGGGTTTGCATGTGTTTTCATGAAGAGATATTTTCTTGTTTGCCTTTGGGACCATGTCAATAAAGTACTACATGGGATTTTCTTTGTTTTTATAAAAAATTTTAGCTTCACAGTGGAGCAGGACAGCAGGTATCCTCGCCCTGTCATCCTGGAAGTCAGTCACACCGCTATTTTCTTGGAGAGAATGCAGAGAAGGAGTGAGCTGAGAAAACAAGAGTCAGGCACTTGGCCTGGGTGTCTCGGAAGTTCTCAGTGTGCCCGTGGGTGAAAGAGAACCGCTGGGCAAGCCAAGAAGAAGCAAATGTTATCACAATGAGTTTCTTCATTCTACTGTTTTTATTTTAATGTTTTCCATCTGCCTTATTAGTTTTAAATAATTCAGGACACATGTCCTAAATACTGGCCTAGTGAATTGCAGTGGCTCTTCCACCTGCGAAATCAGGTCACTAACTGCTCCTCTTGGCAGGCGTCACAGCTTTTCAGCCCTGACGTGGCGAGCCAAACCTGGGGAAATGCAATTCCAACCGCGAGGGTGCTTTCCAGGGAAGCTCCAGTTCCTTAGAACAAAGGACAAAATAGATTCACTTTCTCTCGAGCAGGAGAAGACAAAATGGCCTTCTCTTTTATTTATAATCCTGACCATTGACTATATGAATGGCACAATAAATGCAGCAACAAAGGGCTTGCACTGGTGCCAGATAGAAACCAGTCAACAGTGATGTCAAAAGCCTGAGTTCAGGCCCTTCACAACGAATCGCTGAGACTTGAAATAAAGCCACACATCACTCGAGTCCCATAACTCCAGACAACACATCTTTACTGAGCACCTTCCACGCACACAGCCAGTTGCTTACATGTAAGGGCCCGGATACAAGCTGTGCCATGCGCAGCCTTTCAACGCAGCTGAAGAGAGCAGGCGCACACCCCATGCACAGGCCTAGAGAAAGAGGGCACGTGGTCCGAAGTTTTCATGGGATAACATAGGGAGCGATGGGGGCAGCACCTGCAGGGCCTTTGAAGCACTTTGAAGGCAATGGAACCTGCACTAGAATACACGTAGTAAGGGGCACGTCCTTGAAAAAATGAGATAGGAACTGGGTATATAAAGCACTTAAGTATCATGAGGAGATTGCATTGTAGGCAGAAATAATACCTGGACAGTCAGTCAGACCGCAATAAATCAAAGAAATAGTCTGCTCCTCATGACGCAGACAGTATTCTGGCTGAGTGTTGCTTCTCATGTTTCGCTCTCCCTACTGTGCTCTAAAGGGTGCAGATAGAGCGTTGTCAGTTGCGTTTCTCAAGCACACACCAAGTGCAGCGCTTGGGAGCAGCTGGGGGAAGTTGAAGCGTTTCCACTCCAGGTCTTTAAACTCCAGATTCTCCTGCAGGAAAGAATGAGGTTTGCTTTTCTAATAGTCTGTGATATCTGGATAGCAAGAGCCGAGCTGAGATTCGGAGAAACTTAGGTACTGTAAATGGCTTGAAGGTCTCTACAACTAAAGGTAGGGGAAATTAAAGCCTGCCTTAGTTTGCAATTAAGAAATACAAATGATGTTAGTCACCAAAAGTCTTTTATCATAGAACTGCTTTTTCATTCATTTGTCCCAACTGCCTTGAGGAGGGACTGGGTGACACCACATAACTCTTAGCAAACCTCTGGCTCTGAAGTCCTGCCCTTCTGAAGTACAGAACCCCTTTGGGGAAGCTCACTCAAACACTGGATGAATTTAATCTTTTACACGTAAAAGTAAATAGGCCCCAAGTAGGTATAGATAACTTCCCCCAAATTAACTTGGATTTACAGTTTTGTTTGTCAGTTTTCAATTCACCTCTCTTTACACAAAGAATAATGCCTAAAAGAATGCATATAAAAAATGAGTATCAAGAAAATGTTGCAAATATCTTGCCTCTCCATTTATTGTAATTTTTCTGGCTCTGCCTTCAAGGCAGGCAGTCAGAGTCAGCGGCTGATCGCCAACATACCTCATTTTATTTGTGCTTCACTCTGTTGTCTCCCTTCCAATAATCATTTTGGTATAAGTGACACTCCAGGGGAAATCAATTCCTTTTGACTGAATAGAAAAGCCCAGTCTACCTCCCTTGAATCATAATTGGGGCTTTGTTTATTTCCCTGTTGTTTGAATCTTGCAGCAACCACTCTTGTTTTCACCAAAGCTGAGTGGCTTGTCTACTGCGTCCTCCAGGGAAGGTTTGCCAGCCTAAGAAGCTCCCCCCTCAAGGAGGGAATAATTAGAGCCACTTGGTTATCACAAGTGCATTTCCCAGCAACTGGCTAGTTGTTGTTTTCTCTGAGATTGTTTAAAGGAAAGGTCCTTTAAGCCCATAAGGGGATAGATAGATCTTCACTGAGAAAGACGTGCGGTTACAGAAGGCATTCAGATTTGTGGGTCCCTCCGAAACAGGAACTCCCCCTTGCCTCACTTCTATCTGTCTTGGGTCTGCCAAGTATTATGGATGTCTTTGACCTCAGGAGATATTTTTGAATGAATGTAATTAATGATTGGCACTAAACTGAATTGATGAGCTGAGTTGAATTGAACTGGCTTGAAATAAATTGAACTGAACACTGTGGACTGACAGGTGGCTATTACGAGGGCACGAGGCCAGAGTGTTCCATTCATGAGATAAGTGGGGCCTTGGAATGACCCCAAGAGCTCAGAATGATGGAGGAGTCCGGCCTCCCTGGCCCTTGAGGAGTCTCAGATTAAAATGAGCTTCCCAAGGGCCACAGCAAAATGGAAGCAGAGCTGAAACTCCACACATAATAATGCGAACAGAGCACTGAGCTCAGGCTAGGCTAGGCTCTACGCATCACTTCTCTCATTCCAGTGATCTCTCAAAGCAACCCAGCAGAGGGGGCCTCCCTCTCACCTGCATGCAAACAGAGTGACTGAGGCACGAAGCAATTAAATAATTTACCCAGGTGGCACAGCTGAGGTTTGAACCCGGGAAGTGAGACCTTAAAAGACATTTCCTGGCCCTTTCAGCCCATTGTGAATGGCTAAGGAATTTATAAAATAGTTTCAGTAGGAATTTATAACAAGGAAAATAAGGAACTTTCAAGGAAATGGTTATTTTTTCCCCTTTTGAGAATTTAAAATTACAAACTGTTACAGCCTCTGGACATTAACATTTTAAATACTCAGATTTTATTAGTTTGGCCTCAGTGGGGACATCCAGATCATTCTGCACATTATGGGTTGTGTCGAGATTCTAGTTTCCAGGAATCTCATAAAGTGAAAGATTTTTGAAAACTAGCATATTTATGATTCATATGTGTGCTTTCACTCCAAAATATAATCCCATATCATTGAAAAGGCTTAACTATTGTCTTGGGCTCTGCGGTCCTCTTCAGTGCTGGGCACTGTTACATCCTTACCTCCGGAATGACCAAGAATGCTGACAAGGGGTTACGTCTCTGTCTTGTGCATGGAAGGCCTGCCCACTTCTGAACCTGTCCTCTCATCCATGCGGAAGCGCAAGTCCCAGCTGGCCTCAGCCATAGGCAAGCTCTGACCCTCCCTTCAGAATGCGAGGGGAAGGGAACATAAAAGCATCAAGACGAGATATGCATATGCACCAGAGATGAATGTATTAATGAGGTATTGCAGACATGTGCTAATAATTTTTCTGAAAAATCAGAACCACCCAAGTGCTTCTAATTATTGATTACTCTGGCTCTGGCAGGCCAAGCTCTCGGGGCTCTGGATGCATGGAAGCGATTCCATGCTCTCTGCAAGGTTGCTTGGCAGACCCTGCTCACGGTCCCGTTACCTGGCGAGGCTGGGGAGGAGGGAGGCCGGTGGTGTCTCAGCTGTTCACAAAGGCTGGGGTGAAGCCAGAGGAAGAGGCCAGTCACGAGGACCAGGCCCTACGCTGGCGGGAGCCCCCCAATAAAGAGCTGTGTCACTTATGGAGCATGTGAGGAGCAGCCTGGCAGGAGAGAGGGCAAGAGGACAGCAAAGTAGAGCTCTAGTCATGAAGAGGAGATGAGTTTGAAATGGATAACTGGAAAAAAATGAGGAAACAGGTAAATGCTCTGAATGATCCATATGCTTTCCATCACCACTTGGAGTCATTGTGTAATTAAGATTATGGAAAGGAAATCACTAATAGGATCAGCATTAGGGACTACTAATTCCTATTAGTTCACTGAAAGGAATAGTTACGTTTACATTGTTTGATCAGTCCTATGTGCCTACATCTGGGCATCTGAGCCACTAGTCTGAAGATAGCAGTAGGCAATATAATAACCATTGTTTATTTCTTCTCATCTTGTTTTGAGATTCTGTATTGTTTTCATTGCTTTTTCTCTCTTTAAAATGCTGTGTAAGGGCCGGGGAAATGGCTCAGTAGAATAAGTGCTTCCCTGGCAAGCACAAGAGCCTGAGTTCAATCCCCAGTTCCACCAAAAAAAATAAAATAAAATAAAATACAGATACTTTATGGAACCAGGGAGATGGCTCAGTGGAATAAGCGCTTCCCTGGCAAGTGCAAGGGCCTGAGTTCAATCCCCAGTTCTGCCAAAAAAAAAAAAAAAAAAAAATGCTATGTATTCTAATCTGCAGTTTCCAGAATCTGTTTCCCACCTTTCTGAAAAATTGAACCATGATGTTACATTCCAGGATTCCACTATCATCGCCATTCTTCATAACTCTTCAAATATTAAGGAGTTTCCTACCCACTTACACAAGTTTTTCCAGAGTGGTAAGACATCGCTGCATCTGTACTAAAGTAGATACTCACCACCATCCCCACCCTGCTTCCGGATTGTTCTTCTCTCCAAAATGACAAAGACACCTCACCCTTTCCAGGACCATTCTCTGTGACTAAGAAGGCCCAAGCGAGCCGAGGCAGATGCTCCTGTGTCTGTCATCATCGCGAGCATTGCCGGCAGTGCAATGATTGGCTTTTGCTCATCTTGTTGACCTGAATGTAGATTAAGGACATCCTTGTAAGTTTTGACATTTTTTTCCAGAGTCTTGGTTCGGTCTGGGGTTTAGGTCCTTGTCACATTTCTTTCTTTACCCTAGTACCATGTTCCTTTGTTTCATACACAGTGTAACTCTCTTATCACGCAGCCCTATTTAAACTGATTTTTCAACACTGTTCCTCTAGTTTAGACATGTGTATGTGACTGATTACAAATGCGTATTGTTCTATCTTTTTCACTCTAGAGAAATGCTTCTAGCCATTCATTCATTCACATAATGTCAGTGAATCATGTGCTGTGAAACACAGGAAGATGGGCTGGACACTCATCTGTGTTCGGGAGTAACTCCGACATGCAAGTGCCCCGAGAGTCGTGCAGGTCTTATGGGGCATCAGCGAAGGCAGACACAGCGACAGCATTAGGAGGATGGCAGGGTGGGCCAGAGAAGGAGCTTCAGGGGAGGATGCCAGAGTTCTGTGCTTTGAATAATTTAAATAAGGGACAATAAGGAGGTGTGCGTGCTCACACGTGACCATGCTCCTCACCGGCAGAGAAGCAGGGTACTCCAGGTAAAAGGAAGGACACTGCCAAGTGACAGCACGCTTTATATAGTATATGCTTACTCCATTTCTTATTTTTTTTCCTACTTCTCCATGATTCACTTTTCTCGCAACTTCTTTCTTTTTCTTATTCTCTGGTATGCTTGCTTATTTCAACTACTTTGTCATCCAAGTACACTTTTTAACCTGAGATAATGATGATGAAGATGATGATGAGATGGTGATTTGTATTTTAGGGAAGGGTCTGCAGGGTGTTCAGGGTCTCACTACTAGATTGGACTCATAGTGATCTGCCTGTTTACAGCCTCCCAAGAACTGGGATTACAGGCGCGTGTCACCACGTGCAGTCTCAATTGCCATCTCAACACGTCTTGGGGGGCAGGGCTGGCATGGCAGGCCAACATGGATGTAGACAATTTTTTTTTTTTTTTTTTTTTTTTTTTTTTTTTTTTTTTTTGCGGTACTGGGGATTGAACTTGGGACCTTGTGCTTGCCAGGCATCACTTAAGCCCCTGTACCCTGAGGTTATTAACTTTGCTTCTCACAGATCTTACTACTGAGTTTTCCCACCCATCTCTGTTTGCTGTACTAACTTGACAGAAGCGACATTTTCCTCTGGTAAATTTAGGAAGCAGAAATGTTAGATGCCTCCTTAGGAGGGGTGAACCCTGCAGGCCAGAGCCATAGCCTCCGCGTAGCCCGTGCTACCTCCTGAGAGGTCTGTCTCGGCGCAAGGAGGCCAAGCACCTTGGTGGAACCAACCCAGGAATTCGCACGGCGCGCATGCGTGCAGTGGCAGGAGGGCCGTACCGGCACACAACCTAGGGCACCCATCTACGTCTCTGCGTCTGAGTTGATTCCGCTACAAAGGGAAGAAAGCGAAGGCAGCTGGTCCCAACTCATTCAGCAATGCTGAGTGATTGCCTGTGTGTGCCGTGTGCCAGACACCGTTCTCCACGCTGGAAGCGCAGCAGAAGGCAGGAGGGATTGCGGGGATAGTTGAGGCTCTTACTGCTCTTACGTTCTACAGGCCATGACTAATAATAAATGCGAAAAGGGTAATTTATGTAATGTGCCAGGTGATGACATAATCTGTTACAAATAAAGCGAGGAGAGAGAGGAAGTGGAGTGAGACTTAGTTGAGTGCTCTGAGCACCAGAGAGGAACCAATGCAGGAAGGACCTAAAGGCCGCGAAGGAAGGAACCCCGTGGCCAGCGCGGTGAGGCGGAGAACGAGCCAGAGCAGCACGCAGTGGAGGAGCACGCCCAAGGAGCAGCAGCGACGCCCTGGAGCGGGACGGACACGCGGAGGAAGCATCGCGTAAGACCAGGACAGAGAGGGACAGAGAAATCCACGGCAAACGAAGGTGCGCAGGCCTCGGATGGATGCCAGCTTTCTGGGAGGCGAGCTAGGAAGCCATGATCGGGATGCATCTGGTTTCAGAGCTCACAGAAGGACTGTTAAGACTAGAAGCAGCTCAACACAGAACCCGGAAGAGGGCTGAGAAGCAGAACAATCCAGCGGCGCAGATATGACAGGTCCTGTCTAGGTGACAGCAATGGAGACGAGAAGGCGCAGCCTCCGGGGGCGTTTTGAAGAATGAGACAACAAGACTGTTGACAACTTGAAGGTGGGAGAGGAGAGAAAATAGTGACAGAGGTGGCTACAAGATTATAACGCAAAACAGCTAGAAAGCCAGAGTTACCACCTCCCCTGTTAAGAAGAATTCAAGAAAAACTTTGGGGGCAGGGGGACAAA